ATAGCCACACGTAAATCTGAGGCGCTGGGTCCAGGCTTTGCCTTTTTAGTGGGAGTATTAGTAACTCTCACAAACTTCCAGCAAACCGTTCTGCAGTTTATTAACAAAGTAATAATTTGAGAACAATCGCAAGATTTTTCATACAATAGTAATTAACATGAATTTAAGAAACTAGTCCCTGGCTGATTCTTGAATATGCGCATTTACACGGAATCTTGATCTAAACATGGATTTTGCTGCTCCATGTAAACTACAGGTGTAGAATTGAAGCTCTCAAAATGAAAATTAGGATTTGAGATTAGATTGTTAGGTGCAATCAGGTGTGAAAGATTGCGAGCACGTCTGGGAACAAATAACCAGAATTAGTTGAATTTGATGTACCCATACAAATGAAAGGATACTTGAGGTACGGAAAGAAAGTGGCGATTCGCTCGGCAACTTCGGATCTCTGAGCACGGAAAAGACAGAGTTATTGCTTTGCAAGTTCTTCCGCAGATACATATGCTTTTGTAAAAGCGAACTGCTTACCTGCAGAATCGCGTTGATTACAGGAACAAGGAAAGCTGCAGTTTTCCCTGATCCTGTCTGCGCGCATGACATGAGATCGCGACCGGCCATGAGCGCCGGGATCGAGTACTTTTGTACTGGAGTGGGACGATTATAACCAGAACGCTGAATGTTCTCTTCTATCCAAGGATGAAGCTTCAAGTCAGAGAATAATGAAATTGGGGCAGGAACATCCTCTCCTGTCGCTTCTACGGGGATTTCCTCGTATTTGTCGAAGTTAATTCCAGACAATTGGCCAGCGAACAACTCAGACTCTAAGCGTTCGTCTCGCGGTTGCTGTCGCTCCCACCGCGCGGAGGGAGCCCCATCTTCACGCAGACCTGCCCAACGGCTGTTTCTGAAAGTTCAATTGTCGTTGATCGACTCCATCTGCTGAACGTAGAAGACTTTTGCAACAATGATACATACTTGCCATCTTCGCGATCCCCATTATCCCTGCGTATTTCTCTCACTTGTGTGTCGAATGATCTATAAAATGTGAAAGAGATTTCAAACCCAAATGCACAGATATAGACTGATGCCTGCCTCTGATTAAAACCACGTCCACCAGAGCCTTGATAGTCATCGTGACCATAGCTACCACCATTCCTTTGACCAGAACCACGATCAGAAAAGCGTCCGCTGTTACGTCCGCTGTAACCGCGATCATGATCAAAACCTCCTCGACCTGTAGAAAGAGAATCTAAAGTGGTGGAATCAGATGAGATCTGCAATCATATGAGACTGGTGAAGGAAGTCAACTATTTTAGGATCAGACATTATGGGATAGTAATCGATTCAATAACCGACTGATTTCTTGGTGACCGCAAAAGTTAGCAGCGAAGCTAAGAGAAAATTGAGTTTCTACATTTCTAATGATTTCCAAAAAATTGAGGAAGCAGCTCGCATATCGATGATCGATCATCTCTAGCCTATCGATAACTGCGGTATGATAAAGGAAAAGTAAA